TCATTTGTCAGTCCTAGAAATATTCGCTTTTTTGCGGGGCGAACCACTTCGTGAATCACCCTGTATGCCGGGTTTCAGAGTCCTATGTGTTGAGCGTCGTATTTTGCGTAAGCATGTTAATGAGGCAAAAGTTCCGAGAAGTTCCCGATTCCTGCGTCAACGTTGATTTGCGAGATTCATCGCCACGATTGATCGGGACGAATCGCTCGAATAATTTTCCCACGGCGAATTTTCCTTGCGACTATATATTGCCTTTTTTTTTGTTCGATTACCGAGCCGATGCGCATTGTATATAATTGCACATTGCCTGCGTTCGAGGTGGAAGAAAAATAACCCATTTCGACGGGGCACGTTTTCGTCAACAGGGTGATCGACACTCGTAGGATCCAGTCTGAAACGTCGCGTGACACCGAGCGAGTCGTCACGACGGAAAGGTGACTTGTGTGACGGACCCTTGTGGTGCTTTCTTGTGGTGGTGGTGGTGACGGTGATGCCTATTAATGGTTCTGGGGGGAACGATTCCCTTTTTCGTTCTGAGTCGGCCCCCGCTGTGCTGCTGAAAATGGGGTGTGCTGATGACACGACCTTATTTTTCATAGTTTCTTCGAATAAAAATCATTCAAATTTTGATTAGTTCAATTAAACTACCCGTTTTAACCAGCTGTCTGGTCCAGTCAAACGAGACCGCATGAAATCAGCGTGAAACGGTCGCTGAAATATACTTTTTGAATGTATTCTGTGCGTAAGAGAGGTGCTTTCATTGAAAGAACGGGCAACAAAAACAAGCCCCGATAAGATTTTGGTTTAAAATACAATATCAAGCGAAATTCCCAACAGCCTGAAGTTGAAATCCCTCAAGTAATGTACAGACAGCAGGATAAGTTTGAAGCTAATTTTTTTAGGAACGCAAAAGTGAGGACGGCATATGTATGAACGAAAATGACAGGTGGAAAATTTGATTTACGAAATTGTTTTCTTGAATGCAGATGATGAAATGAAGCAAAAATGCGTATCCCTACAAATTTCATCAGATGGCTAAATCTCTCGCTCTCTTCGTAAACTTACCATCATTTTCGATGTCAATTACGGCAAATGAATGTTTGAAGGCTCTAATAACCATCAAAATCGGCGGCCGAAAATTTAATTCTGCTGTGATATGTCGTCCGATTTGAATATTTGAACAGTATACGTTCGGTGAAAAAATGAAATTTTTGTGAAACGGGCTGCTCTTGCAATGTTTCTGTCCCGTCTACGGAGGAGCAACGGAAACGCGGCTAGATTTTTCGAGGAATCTCATTACTCAACGAAATAACACTTACCTTCTGCAGCAAAATGAGTTTTCCTTGCAATATGACCGTTCATGTTACGTTCACAATGTCATTTTCGTCTGTGTTACTTCTCAATATTGATCGACACCATGCTCAGTGATTTATTCCATGAGAACATGACGAATGTCTGCATGTGTTATTTTTGCTAGGCTGCATCTGCGGGGGTTGTTGACTGAAATACGGAATCGTTCCTCTGTTCGGGGAAAACGGGAAATTGCATGCTTTTTTTCTTTCGTATGAAGAGCGGGGATTGTGAAGGAAGGCCTTCTTGTGTGGTGACGGACGCTCCATCTTTTTCCTGTATCTTCTTCCGCGGGCTTAGGCTGTGATTCCTCGCCTCACGAAACGCTGGAGGAAGACGAGAGAATAAGTGGAAAAGTGTTCGTGTTCGCTCGCTGTGTCGGAGAATTTTGTCGTGGTTTGTGCACTGAGACTACAGCGGATTCCGAGATGAGTGAGTGCCTGGCGATTCCCAGACATAACCACAAAAAATAGAACTTTTTTTTAGCATCATTCCTGGGATTAATCAGGTTTTTTTGCACTCACAAGCGTGGTCGTACGAGCACACATTTTTTTCGAAGCTAGGAAGCAGCGTTTTTCCGGTTTTTATTTTATTTGAAGATTAGTTGTAACTGCACATTCCCTGCGTTTCTTAGGCGAGTGATTTCGTTGATGGGGGAAGAAAATGATGGGGAGGATCGAGTTCTCTTCTTTTCTGACTATTACTCCATTCTTTGGCGCATGATTTTTTATTTTATTTTGTTCCCGTTCTTTTGCTTGCTTGCTGCCGTTTTTAATCTCGTTGCACGTCTGCCGCTTTTCGATGAAGGAGATGTCAAGATTTTCTCTTGATTTTCCAGGCGGGTGCTGCACGACCGCGGGGTGGACATGGCCCCCTATCAGTGAGTATTCCATCTTCGTTCATTTTCATGGCTCTGTGATAATGTCGTCAGGTTTATCAGTTCGAAGTTATTGCGGTGATGAAAATTCTGGGATTGCACTGGGGAAATAGAGTTGGAAATGATTTAGGGCGGGCTGATAGATCTGAGAGGCTGTTCGTTGAAGACTATTCCGAAGCGGAATGAGCAGGATTACGGATCAGTTGGGAACCGGAGGAGTGAAATCAGTGGATTTACGACGAAGCATGATTAGTGTGAGAAGCGTCGAAAGAGCGGGATTTTTTTTTTTGAAGTTACTGAGGCCATCTATTTTGATGGTTTGGAATAGTTCATCGTCGTTCACACTTCGCGTTCGATTTTCTGTGCGGCGTGTGCGTAAATTGTATTTAAAAGAAGGAAACTAGAAAGGTTGAAGTGTATTTTTGCTGAAAATTAGGACGCTCCACCCTTCCATTTTGTAAAAAAAAAAATAATAAGGTTGGTTATCGATGTAACATACGGTTTGTTGCGTATCAGATTACACTACCTTAATCAAAAAAGCGCTTCTGTCTTACTCCAAGAAAAAATAAAAACCCTTGTGGGGATGACTAAACCGAATCCTTGCATTGCTTGGGAAGATTATCAGATTGCTATGGAGCTCTACCTCACGAGATCTTTTTCAAAATGATAATTTTTTAAATCCTGCGTTGAGAATTGTTAGTCAAGAATTCGAATTGTCTTCTACCTTAGTGTAGTACTTTCATATGGTAAATGATTCGCCACCTTCTTTTACGTATTTTTTTAACGGATATCCTGAAGCTTATCGAAGTCTGGACTTCCATCACAGCGACCCAGTTTCGAAGACGGTCATTCTTTCTTTATTTTCTCGCACAAACACAAATTTTGAATGACTAGCCGATATCAAAGGGTTCAAAAAGGTGTTGGTGCCGCAAAATGGACGTCATTTACCTATTTACGATAAATAAATGCACCTCCACACCCTCGAGTTCACGAGCCTGTCGGTTGGGTCATCACCGAACTCGTGTATTTTTTGCTGCCATTGAGAACTGCGAATCTGTGAGAAATGAGGGTCGATATTTGGCAGGCTAAATTCAAGTTGTTCCTGAATAATTCGTCAAATCCTCGCTGTGGATTTGACTCGTGATCTTATTTGTGCCGGGAACTTTTTGATGGTTTTCTGCGAACGGTTTTTCCATTGAATCCCCTGCAATGATTCTCGTTCTTTCGAGAAAGTTCTGATCAACAGTACTCTGCCGAAATTATTTTTCACCGTCAAAAACTTTCTCCCCAGCTGTTATATTTATTTTGAATGTGGAGTTTTTCTTCCCTCTCGCTAGAATATCTCGAGCAGTCTTGAATAAATCTCGGAGGAGCATTATGTGCAGTATAAGAAGTATATTTTCTTCTAATTTTTCTCCCCTTTCCTCGAATTGAGATGTTTATTTGTTATATGTTTTTAGTTTCGCTTGCTCATTCGTAAAAGGAAAGAAGATAAATAGTCCCCCGGAAATCGTCCTCTCGAAGTCAAACTTCGGCAGAAGTCCATCCTTTACTCGCCGTGTCAACGTAAGACTTTGAAAAAACCACCGTATTTGACTTTTCCTTAGGGACACCGGGCATCGTCCAGGTGAAGTTCTCTTCCGATGAGATTTCTTCCCTTGAAGATGTCGGCGAGTGAAAAGAGATGCGTCACTCGGGAGGTTTTTCATAAAGTTCATTTTTAACTTCAGGAGAACAGACCAACAAAAACATTGACTTTTCGGAAATTAATGGAGAAGTGATCGAAAAACATCATACAGACGAGCTTGGTTTTTTTTTGTTATTTGCGTTCTGGACTGGGATTCGGCGCTGATACCTGGGACATTCGAGGAAATGTGGCATTCTCTGAAAAATAATAATTTCCAGTCGAATTTCAAGAAATTTTGTGGCATGTTGAGGAAATTTTTTCCTCTTTTGTCTATTGACGAACTTTTGGAATGCTGTACCTGGTGGATAACCCTGTGGATCTCCCCGAGAAGGCTAAATGTTCTTTTTCCTCCGAGGCGCCGGATACTTGAAGTATTTTCTTTTCATGCTTTCTTTGGTTGGAAGTCTCATGATTAACTTGTGTTCAAGACTCGAAATGTGTAAATTTATTCTTGTTTTTATGGGTCCAAATCGTCCGATAACTTACGGATCACAGTGTAAAATTTTTTTTCTCTCTCTCTCTCGATAATATGTACTGGGAACGCAGGTATATTTTATAGTACTGTACTGTGAAGAAATACGTTTCCAGCGGAATGGCTCTTGATTGTGTATTCGAAGTGAGGCTTTCTATTGTCGTCACGATCCCCGATAGGTTTTTGCATTTCAATGTCTGTCCTGCGTGTGCGTAATGGAAGAAACCCGCGACGATGGCGTGAAAGCGTTTTCTGACCAACTTCAATATTGGATTCAAAGCGAGGGTCACGAACTCGGAAAGGCTCTTAGGATTCTGGACGTTTGTATTGCGTCCTTTTTTTTTCTTCGTTTGTGGAACACACACACGGGACGAGAGCATCGAAGTAAGAAGAATAGTCAAAATTTCCTGTTTGTCCGTCTCGGTCGTTTGTTTGCGGGTACCGAAACGTGTTGATCTCTGTTCGCGGCCAAAGTGTGTAGAGACTGAGTGAGAGAGTGCATGAGAGACAGAGGAAAAACTGTGTGACACTTCCGCCGATAAGAAACGGGTCGATTCATCGGCTCGCCTCTCTTTCAATGCGAATTTCGGAGGCGGATCAATGCTTGAGTTTCGATTCGATTGGCACCGGTCGAGTACGAAAAGGGATTTCAGTAGTACCTTTTCGCATTGTTTTTCCCTCCAGCATCAACGTGTAATCAGTTTCGCCTGAGTTGTATTTATTTTTTTATTCCCGTGAAATTCGTTGTTACGCGCGAATATGGATGTCGAGGTGAACCGGGGAAAGAGGTGAGTGTTGCACGGTTTACCATGCGTGAGGCGCAAACGATTATAAGACACACGTAATGTTTGTACTGCCGCGAAGAATAAATTTGCTCGTGAATTTAAGACCCATTTTCATGATAATTAATTCATTCTTGATCGGGGGAAGTCTCGATCATGGGAGACTTTCGTTTTCATAACCCTGATGTTAACAGTTCGCAAGCGTGCATGTATTTAGCACAGTTTTTGTATTTTCGCTTTCGTATGTTCCGCTGAAAAGCTTCGCTGCTGAGGCCTCACATAATCAGATAGTAAGGAATCAAAAATTCAATGAACGCGTTATGAGGATGGCCAGATTTAGCTCATCAAAAAGCTCGCTTCTTGTTCATGTAATTTCCAGCATGGTTACTGGTGATCGTGTATTTTAACGTCGTCTTCTGCGGATGAGGTTTTTCACCGGAAAGAGGGCCCTAAAAGTTTTGATTCAACATGCGCGACGATTCAGCCGTTGAAAAAAAAAACAATATTAGTGAGCATAATTGTCCCGATTCCTATCGAAACTCGGTAGTGAATCAAGCAATCAAATCAATCCATCTACCGGTCAGTCGATCGTTTTGTCGTCGCCGACTTGCAGAGTTGGTGATGTGGGGCGCAGTTGGATGGGATAGGGTTTGATGCGTAGAGAAAGTTAATTGATGGCGTTCGTATCTATTGGCATGGTCTGATTGCCGCTCTCCCATTACCCCCCCCCCCCCCTTCAGCGAGTTATCTGTAATGATTCGAGAAATAATGGTTTTACCGTCGGGAGCATTTATGTATTTTAACGTCGTCTTCTGCGGATGAGGTTTTTCACCGGAAAGAGGGCCCTAAAAGTTTTGATTCAACATGCGCGACGATTCAGCCGTTGAAAAAAAAAAAAAAAATATTAGTGAGCATAATTGTCCCGATTCCTATCGAAACTCGGTAGTGAATCAAGTAATCAAATCAATCCATCTACCGGTCAGTCGATCGTTCTGTCGTCGCCGACTCGCAGAGTTGGTGATGTGGGGCGCAGTTGGATGGGATAGGGTTTGATGCGTAGAGAAAGTTAATTGATGGCGTTCGTATCTATTGGCATGGTCTGATTGCCGCTCTCCCATTACCCCCCCCCCCCCTTCAGCGAGTTATCTGTAATGATTCGAGAAATAATGGTTTTACCGTCGGGAGCATTTGCTCGTGTGGTAACGGTGGTCCGTAGGAGCTTTAGAAAGTGGGCTTCCGCCATATAATTTTAGTACATTTTATATACAGTATGCTGTATTTATATTTTCTACGGGGTTTCGATCAGTTACGGACATTTTGAAAGCGGATGGTGATACGCCTACCGCGATGAGAATTTATTCGCAGATGTTGGAATCGTGGGATTGAGTTTTACTTGACCACGTTGAAGCGCCGTTTTTTTTTTACTGGTTTGAGACATTAGGATTGATATGATTCGTTATTTTTCGGAGCTCTGTGAGGCTGGAATAAAACTCCGAATCTTCCGTTCTGCCTTGAATATACTGGTGGACTACCTCAAGAATGATCTTGTCTATAATGATATTCTCTGTGTAACGATTTTTGTTTTCGGTCCCGTGGGGTCCTCTCCCCAAGTTTTAGGGTTATGTTCAAGGAAGGTCTCCCTTTGACAAATGTTTCCGTGATCCCTCGAATTTCGAAGTAGATGAAGTCTACCTGTACTACGGTATGCTTTTTGAAATATATACAGCAAATCTCTCTACAACGAATTTTTTTTCAGTCCCTGGAATTTCGTTGTCGGAAGTCCACATCTAGTGTATTATTCTTTTCGAAATAAATATTGTACAGCAAAAATCTTGAGATTCTGAACGAAATATTTAATAATGCAAAAAGTGAATGTCGGAGGAGCGAAACTGAATTTTAGATTACAGTATTCGTGTTAATTAAGAAGGATGGTCACGGTTAATTTCGAAAGAATCACCGGTGAGAATTAAATCAGATTTCTTCATTGTACACTATTTGCTTCTGGTGACAATCAGGAATTCGATCGCGAACGCTGTGTCCACCGGCTCTTCTACAAGAGTTGGCAGCAACAAGATTTGAACGATTTATCAATTTTTTATTAGAGTATTATTGATGAAATCTTCGGAAGATTTTCGTATTTTAAGCTCTTGGTTAAAACCTGCTTAACCGGCTCTTCTACAAGAGTTGGCAGCAACAAGATTTGAACGATTTATCAATTTTTTATTAGAGTATTATTATTGATGAAATCTTCGGAAGATTTTCGTATTTTAAGCTCTTGGTTAAAACCTGCTTGTTATTTTGTCAAACGAAAATATGGATTTTCGATATTTGAATGACCTGTTTTCTCTTATAATTTTTCGAAGACCAAAATATTTGCTTGAAAAATTTGGCGGAATGATGTTCTATCGTTGAGATTCACTGATTTGTTATCGCGTAAATCGAGCACTTTTCACGTACAGTAGTTATTTTTTCGAACCGTACGAGTACTCGAGCGATTCCGGGCAGAACTTCGATTTTGGTAGCGACAAAACTTGCGTAGGCTGAAAACAAATCCGGAAGTTTGGAAAGGTGTACTGCGATCTTAAATTGGTTTTCTCAAGGAAATTAGTATAGTACGTAAGTTGAAATGTGTCTCTCTTATGCGAGAGTCCGATCATAACGAGAGACAGTCGACAAACCATCCGAGGATGAAGAAAGGCTTCATTTTAATTTTCTCTCAAGCATGTTGATCGTGCAGTAATTGTCGAATCCAGAATAAAGACCGCACATGAGACTGCATGGAGAGTTGATAGCATTCGTTAAGGGGCAAAAAGTGCGTCTTTCGCATAAATGCGGAAGCATTTTCCCTTTAAAAAGACTTCGTTGCGGAATAATCTTCGAGGCTTGGCGTCCCGTCAATTTCCCGACCCCATGACTGTATTTTCATATTCTCTTTTCTTTTTAGAATTCACCTCTTTTTTTTCTTTTTTTTTTACCTAAACATAAATGCCTTCCCGACTTCAACCAGGGATACGTTGAGCATAATCTGCGTGAAAGGAAAGTTTTTCGTCGGGAGCTGTTGCCGCAAATTGAATTCACTCGAACGCGTTACGTTTGAAGTTGGGCAGTCTAGCCGGAGGGTTATTGAATTTCCGAACAGCCTGGCGGGTTCGAGATCGGTTTTATGCCTCGCTGTTGAAGAAACGGGACTTTTTTGTTTTCTTTTTTGTGTAGGCCGTCTACGTACTGATTCGAGTCAAGCATCAGCCTGCGAGCGGAAATTTGTTCCTCCTTCTCATTGTTATTCTCGCTTGATACTTACCAAAGTTGACGGGCGTTGTTTCGTGATTAATTTAAGCGTGGTAATTTCCGTATCAGGTGTTGACCTCGATTTCTGGCGATTGAACGTGCGAAACTCCGGTTGACTGCTTCAGCATTCTGGCTTATCCCCGAGGAGCTGGATCATCGATTCTTCAAACTGCGTCCGAATTAAGCGGGGGTTATACGAGACGATCGTACGAGCTATCATTGCCGCATAGCGCTGAAAAGCCTCACTCTTGGAACGAAAGCGTAGTTGAACCTCGATAAGTCGAATACCTCCCTATGCCAAATTTTTTTCAAGTCTCCCTCTGAATTCCATTGAAAACAATCAATCAAAGACCGCGCTAACTCGAAGGCTCTCCACAACTTGAATTTTCTGGAAGCCTTTTGACCAATTTCTTTTTTTATTTGACACAGGAAAGAGAAAACCAATAAAAAATTAACTTTATGCTCTTTGAAACGAAGTGAAAGATTAGTTCGGCAAAGCAAACTCTTGACTCCAATTTCAGCATCATCATCATGTCAGCTGATTCAAAGTTAAATTTAAAGCCCGGAATATAACCATTTACTGATTTCTGTGATTTATATCTCTCTTTCCCGCGAAAGAAATCGCTTGTTTCTTTGACTAGAAACCTCCATTACTCGGATTTTTGATGGTCATTTAAAACTGCTTTCTTGATGCAAAAAGCCTGAGTTATTTCGAAGCTAATGAAAAAAATCCGCGAAGCAACGGCTCGGTTATACGACTTATACTTAATTGACGTTTCAGCTTCGTTTTGATCATTTAAAAAGCGTCATTCAGTTGAACCCTCTTCGTGAACTCTTGAGTTGAATTTTCTAGAAGCAGGGAATACAGTCAGGTTTTAAAATTGTTGTCTCTTGAGGTTGTTTACTTCACATTTTTTCAAGGGACTGAGAAACGAGTGAACAGGTGGAGGACGCGCGAAGGGAATACAAATTGTTATTCGAGTAAATGGGTCGGTGTGATGTGACAAAAAATAATGCAAATAGTCTGTCAGGAAAATATAATAGAATTTAAAAAAAGAAAAAGAAAAAAAATTAGCAGCTCGACGTATCCTCAACGACGACGACAACGACGGGTCTTCGTAATGTGCTTTTGAAGAATGGGCATGCCGACTTATCATGTCGTGCTCAGTGCAAGAAAGGGCTTAAATGGCGATGTTATCGTGGGGCCGTGAGGAACCGTGACTGGAATGCAGGATTAGTACTGATTTTTCTCTCTCTCTCTGTATTTCCCGTTTTCGGCTTAGTGGGGAGCCGGAGGAGTGCAAGAAAGGGCTTAAATGGCGATGTTATCGTGGGGCCGTGAGGAACCGTGACTGGAATGCAGGATTAGTACTGATTTTTTCTCTCTCTGTATTTCCCGTTTTCGGCTTAGTGGGGAGCCGGAGGTGCAGGAGATAAGCTCGAGCTACACCGTCGACGTTACGTACCAGCCTGAGATCACGACGAACGGGACCGAGTACGTGGAACGTGTTTCTCCGCAATCGTCTTCCGGTCATGGACGGGCTCTTGAGCAGTCGTCTTGCGTCTTTGTTGTGTGCTGAGTTGTTCACTCAAAAATAATTAAAAGTCAACAGTTCGGCGGTTCGTCACCAACAACTCGACAAAAGCCGCCCTCGGAAATGACCGGCTTTTGAACCATTTTTTTTCTGAATTGCACCGGTTTCAATACATGGAAGTTCTTTGCTTTCCACTGAGAGGGCATCGCAAGTGTTATCGGTTGGATATAACCGTACAGTAAATGCTGAATATTTCGAAAGTTCACGAAAGTACTGTATATAGAGAACCTGAAATTAAAATTTCCTTTCACTGGTGTTCGAAGAGTTACATATTCTTTTTGCTGAAGCTGCTTCTCCAAACGTTTTGCTTCATAAAAAAATTGGTCTCTCTTGTATTCCTGTACATTGACTGAAATCCACAACACCTTAATAAGTCAAACTCGGCTCTAAGAAAATTTCGCGTACTTCGTAGGAAGTGCGCGAATACTCCCGTGGTAAGTGTACCTTGGTTTGAAAAGCCATGCCTTAAGAGGCGTCGCAAATATTTTCCAGATCTGACAAGCCTATTCCAAAATAAAAGTTCTGATTTTTAAAATTATGTGCTTGTGATGCTGAGCATGAAGGTTGTTCAGAGTTTCAGTGGATGAGCGAGATGCTATCCGAGTCGAGGTAATTTTCCTCGTACTGTACTGATTTTTAGACTACTGTATTCGTTTCACTAGTTTGTTGTCCATCATTTGAAAAACTTCGAAAACGCGCTACGATCACGAAGAGAGAAGTTATTACTGTATGATAAAAGATTGATCTGTGGAATCGCAATGTAATTATTATCTTCTTTTTTCAAGGTTGTCGTTAGACGATGGCTATTCTCCGAGGGCCCATTACTGCCATAATTTGTGTGCCCCTCTTAACTATCTCCTGGGAAAAGGTTCAATTTTTGTTATGAAGGGGAAATAATCAAGGCCGACTATTTTAATGGAAGTGATTACTTGGCTCTCCTTTTTGCTCTCGCGAGAATTTCATCGATCGTCATCAATTTTCGGGAACATTTCCTCACGGAAAAAGGATTTTCGGTTGTTTCTTCTTGCTTTTCTGAGACAGGACTTCCAAGTACTCATCCCTCTTTTCGCTGATCTTTCAGTCGCGACAAGAAGTACTCATGATCGCTGATCGTATCTTCTTTGCTACTGATGAAAAGATCTCACGATGAAGTTATTAACCGGCCCGGTTTTGGAACTGTCTGGTAACATGCTGATATGAAAGATTAAACTTCTGTTGCTTTTTTAATTTTTGATGCTTGAGTTGCGTTTTGCCGCTCAAAAGTTTCGTTCGGGATAAAATATCGGTTCATCCTGCTGATGAATGATTTTGTTTGTTTGTTTCTTCTGAAGCAGTTCTTTCGCGAGTCATCTGTGAACCATTGATCAATTAATTTTATATGCTTTCTCTTGCAAATGAAACTGTTCCGAGTCGATGACTCATAAATATTGTCGTGACACCTTCTTCAGATTGAATTTTGAAAGCGTCAGTGATTTCGAAGATGTCAATTTTCGACATGGAAAAGCACTTCGACTTCAATGAGTTCAGCCAGTTTGCTGTTGAATCATTCTTCAGTTAGAGGCAATGTCTTCTTATCTTTACACTGTGTATGACTCAATTCCGACGTTTTTAATGCGGTTTTAAGGAATGTTTCTCCGCTTGGAGCCGAACTTGCACGTGGTGCAATTCTAATTGATGATTCACGACGCCCAAAAAATGTTCGACAGTTTCACTCTTGTTCTTGGCAGTTAATGTATTTCCTTTTTAGCTTTGAACTCCTCACTTTTAAAGCAATGACTCCTTATATTTTCACGCAGTTCTTTCTCGATAGCTTGCTGCACAGAAGATATTGACTTTCCTACATATGCAAAAATACAGTTGGCAGAATCATATATTTTGTATTGTGTAAGAACATTTTCATCTGAGTGACTCAGGAGCACAGATCCAAGCACATGGTGTAAGTTTCAGCACAGATCACCGGATGATAAGAACATTCAGCGCAGAAAATCAGATGATGAGTAAATTCAGCGCAGAAAATCATTAGATGATGAGTGAATTAGATAAAAATACAAGATTACTCGTATGTGGGTACCGGGGATTAATTCAATTTCAGCGAAAGAATGGATTCTTGGCATTCATTTTGTCCCCTCCATTAAAGTT